AGAAAGAAAAAGATGGAGAAAGAAAAGATGAATTGGAGAGAAAGAAAGTCACAGAGGGTGACAAATCCAGGATTTGCTTACTGGCAGATGCAGGGTACGAGCCGTGCCAAGCCAGTGCAATATGAGTGGAGAGGAGAGCAGGAGGGTAGAGGAGACAAGGTCTTACAAACCCAGCGAACAGATTTAGCTCTTCATAATGTTGCCTAACAAGGCTCATTGAGCATTTCCCTGGGTTACGTGTGGTGTTAACTGTGTAAACTGAAATTGGTATGTAGCTTATTGGATTAGCCTTTAGCCAAGTTTCACCGAAGTGTCTGCTTCCAGTATGGACACATTTAATAGATGCTCACTTTAACGTAGCCAAAAAAAAATGCACCACTCTCTTGGCTGCCTTATTAGTTTTCATGTTAATTATAACTTGGAGCTTAAAACCTTCACATTTTATTTTCTATACACTATTTTGTCTGTTCAGGAATATAAACCTTAGAACAAAACTAAGAGTCTACAGTCATGCTAGCTTCTTACTTTACATATATCTGTTTGGTATCTATCTATCTATCTCTATCTTTTGTCCAAGGTGCATTCAAGTGAACACTGCTATATAACATGCTGAGAAGGAAAGTATCAGGGATGATTTTTACTGATGTCAACATGTTACCAAACTAAACATTTGCTTACGTTAAAGGCAAAGTGCAGCTGAGGCTGATGGGTATATATATAATATATATATATGTATATATATATGTGTGTGTATGTATATATATATATATATATATATATATATATATATATATATATATATATATATGTATATATATATATATGTATATGTATATGTATATATATATATATGTATATATATGTATATATATATATATATATATATATATATATATGTATATATATGTATATATATGTATGTATGTATATATATATATATATATATATATATATATGTATGTATGTATGTATGTATATATGTGTATATGTATGTATGTATGTATGTGTATATATATATATGTATGTATATATGTGTATATATGTATGTATGTATGTATGTATGTATGTATGTATGTGTGTGTATATATATGTCATAAACACCAACACCAATATATGTTAACAAAAAACAAAACGTCATGGCATTTGCTGATGTATTTTAATCCGGACCACAGTGGTGGGAAAACAGATTAATGGACCAACCAACACTGCCATACCTACAGCCACGCCACTAGGCTAAGAATAAAAGATTTTGCAAAATATTTCAGTTGGAAGGATATGTGCTGTTTTAAAAGAAGTGGATAGTTGGCACAAGTGATGATATCCACCATGCTGACAGAGACACAGACCACAACTTAATCTACAGGAAGTCCAATGGAAAACATTCCAGTATTACCCAGAGTATTTGACTGACAGTTGATCTCTGAGAGTGCTGTTCAAAGCAAAGCATGTACTGTACTGTAGGAGTCAACGGGCCAAGAAACTGCTTTAATCTATGTCTGCTGTTTCCCTGCTATACACAACCTTCCAGTTAATGATAAACCAGAATACAAACATACATGCATCTGCTTCTTTCATGCGATACCCTCTGGGCTGAATGTGCTTTCTTACTGGCTCGAAATGGTTGTGGCTGTGTTGGCTTTTTATCAACAGCAAATGTCCATTTCCTCTAACTGCTAAGCTGATATGGCAGGCTGCTCCTGCTGTTTGAGAAGCTAAATTGTGACGTGTGTGAGAGAGAGAGATAGTGTGTCCAGAGTGAGACAAGGAGAGGGAGCATGATTAGATACACGCAAGAGCAACAGGACGTGTTGAGAATTTCTGAGTTGGGCTGGAAGAATATAATCAAAGACATATTAGAAGTTATTAGGAAACTGTTTGCTAACATGTACGCAAACAGTTTATAACACGATAATACGACAATGTTGTGTTATGTCAAGGTGATAAAAAGTCAGTCAAAAATCGAATCAATTGAATTGGCAAATAACTGATGGGACATAAAGAAAAAGAAAATATTATATTTTTGGAAGCGACCCTGTACGAAGGATAAGTGGTTGGCGATGGATGGATGGATGGATGATTTTTGGTGCGACAGTGAGGCAGTTTAAAGAAGAAGTCCCTTCATGGCAGATCAGCACAATATGCCCCGGTGGTTTTGATTGGGAACTGATTACAGTGTGTGAGACACCAGGTATTCATTGATTTCATTTTGCTCCTGGCAGTGAAATAGGTCCTTCATTAACCATATTTCTGTGCAGACTTTGTCAGGACCAGTTTCTTTGACAGAGGGGAAAAGTGGGTATTCATGCTACAGTGCTTTATTTGAACCCAAGGCCAGCGAGAGGAAATTACTTAATTTCCTTTTTATATCAGAACTTTTGATTTCAGTAACTTCTGTGGAGCACATCTTTCATTGTCAAATGAGCGCCTACAGTAGTTTCTGTATTCATCTCTCGTAGAACCACTCTGGGTTTTCTCTTAATTTGTCTTTTACCTGAGCCTTCATTTTCTCCTCAAAACTTGAAGAGCCAGCAAACTGAAATAATTAGTTCAAGTTCAAGTTCAAGTTCATTTTATTTATATAGCACATTTTATAGCAGCCAATGACTGACCAAAGTGCTTTACAGAACAACAAAATTAAAAGACACTAACACCATGCATAGCAGCACATCATAGAACAGTACAGCAAAGATAAGAACAGCTTAGAACGGAAGAAGCACAAGCAATCATAGAGTTATCAAAAATAAACAACAGAAAGGACATATAAACATACACACACACACATATACATATAGGTATATGTATATACAAAGATACTCATACATAAACAACCTTAATTATAGGCCAAAGAAAACAAGTGCGTTTTTAAAAGTGACTTAAAAGAGATCACAGAAGGGGCTATCCTAACGTCTAAGGGCAAATTGTTCCACAGCCGAGGCCCAACCACAGAAAATGCTCGATCCCCTCTGCGTTTAAGTCTGCAGTGAGGGACTTGTAACAGATTTTGTTCGCCTGATCTGAGACTTCTCGATGGAGTATACGGTTGTAGCAGTTCAGTTAGGTAGCTAGGTGCTTGGTTGCATAAAGCTTTGTACACAAATAACAGGATTTTAAACTCAGTTCTGAAATTAACGGGCAACCAATGAAGAGACCGCAGAATTGGGGTGATATGATCACTTTTACGACTATTTGTGAGGAATCTTGCGGCGGCATTTTGCACCAATTGCAGACGAGCAGTTTGGGATTTCGAGATACCACAGTAAAGTGAATTGCAGTAATCTACACGTGTGGTAATAAAAGCATGAACAGCCATCTCAAGAGTTTTAGGATTAAGAAAAGGTTTGACTTTTGACAAGAGACGTAGGTGATAAAAACTAGAGCTTATTACCGAGGAGATTTGTTTATCAAAATTTAAAGACTCATCCAGTAGAACGCCCAGGTTCCGAACACTTGAGGATCTAAACGCCGCTAGTCTGCCTAGGTCGAGGGTGGCAGCCTGGGGATTAACAGTGGGCCCGAAAACAATGATCTCTGTTTTGGTTTCATTTAAAAACAAAAAATTTTGGTCCAGCCAAAATTTTACTTCATCTAGACAGCCTAAGAATGATGAAAGGGCAGAGGGATCATTTCTCTTGATTGGAACGTACATTTGGGTGTCGTCTGCATAACAGTGAAAAGATACCCCATGTCTTCTTAGAATGTTGCCCAGCGGTAACATGTAGAGGGAAAAGAGAGAAGGCGCTAAGATAGATCCTTGAGGAAGGCCATAGGTTAGAGGCGCAACAGACGATGAGCAATTTCCTAGCTTTACTCTGAAAGTACGACCCGAGAGATAAGACTGGAACCACTGGAGGACGATGCCTTTTAGCCCCACATCACATTCTAGTCTGGATAACAGGATGGAGTGGTCGATCGTATCAAAAGCTGCCGACAGATCCAGAAGAATAAGAGCCACAGAATCACCAGTGTCAGTGGAACGATAGATGTCATTTAAAACTCTCAGCAGAGCAGATTCAGTACTGTGAGCAGACTTAAAACCAGATTGAAATTTTTCAGAAATATCATTGCGTTTTAGAAAGATCTGGAGTTGGTCAAGCACAACTTTTTCTAACACCTTAGAGACAAAAGGCAAAACAGAGATAGGGCGGAAGTTATTTAACACGGTAGGATCCAGTGAGGGCTTCTTGAGTAACGGAGTGACAGTGGCCTCCTTAAGGGCAGCAGGGATAGAGCCGGTAAGGAGGCACTTATTAATAAAGGAAACCAATCCTGGCCCAACTGAATCAATAACTAATTTAAGACACTTAGGAGAGATGATGTCTAGAGAGCAGTACGAGGGTTTCATCTTAGTGATAATTTCTTTAAGGAGATTCAGACTGATTGGCTCAAAAGCATCCCAG